CTGTTTCATTCCCAGGCCTAAAAAGCTAAGGAAAATGCCAAGATAACTGGAACCAGCAACAGGTTCGGGAAAGGGAAGGGAAAACAGCGACCCAGAAGCACTGAATCCTAGCTTGTTTCTCACTACATGAGGATACACTCTTAGTTAAAACACAGCTTGTTTTGCCCACCGAAGTACACGAGCCCCCTTTCTCCAGTCTGGATTAACTAGTTATTTGACACACGCACTCTTCAAGGACTGACTTGAGAACAAGTGCTGTCTTGGCTCAGTAGGATAGCATCTTCAAAGTCGCTGAGGTAAATGGATGGTTGCTGAAATATATTACCTTTCTTTATCATTCAAACCACGCTGTTTTATGAAAAACAGATCAGCTATTGAAACTTCTCCCTATTTTGCAGAAAACAGACTCTGAAGACCCCTATTAATGTAGGACAAAACATTTATTGTCTAATATTGCCATTTTAATCATTATGTAACAGCTCTGAATTCTCACTTTGCTAAGAGAGCTTAACCATTCCCTCCATTTGGGCCTACAAAGCTGTATTTAACTTGCGACACTGAAAAACCCTGATTTTATACCTAGTCCAACTGAATATAAATGCACCTTAATGCTACTTCCATATCTCTACCAACAAAAGCTCCCGTGACTCTTAATGCCTTCCAGCTGCCCAGCAGAACGGTCTCATTTGCAGCGTGTCTCTCAGAAGACACAACTGCCTATTCAGTATTTGCATGCAGCTCTTCTCCCGCTCCCATCCCCTGACATATGCGCTCATTTTCCACCGAGCTGTTACACAAAGCACCGCACGTTTTCCGGATGCATAAAGCAGAGGCCTCATCTACCAGTGCCTTACTCCCAACAGGATGGCCAGACTTATTAAAACAAAAGTGAAAAATTAAACATATTTTGTTCAGTGGCAGCTGTCATACTTTCCCATCTGGTTTTTTCCACAGTTACCCTAGCCCCGTCAAGGGAGAATTAGATAACTACAATAATAACAACAATGTTCATTACGATAAAGAACTACTGTAGTGAAGAGGATGCAGGGAGGAAATGGGATGTCTAATTCACCCAGGTACACTCCTTCTACCTTACGGGTGGAAAGATCCCCCCTGCTAGTCCATGTTTGTTCCTCAAGGCAGGGTAGAGAGATGTTAGACCTTCTGAAACAGATGAACTAGCTGAGGCCATAATGCATGGAGGAGGGGAAGCCACAAGCATTATTCCTTTCTCGTGGTTTGCAAAGAAACTTAGCGCAGAGTAGCTGGGTGAAGAAACTTTGATATTGTACAAAGAAAGCCTTGCACTGAAAAGCACGTTAAAGCATTCCCATGCAGCAACTGCAGTTCTCCAGCATGTGCCTAGTACACACAGTGTCAATGAACGTGTGTTGAGCTAAAGGTTTTAGATCACCAAGTGTTTCTGTGCTTGGAGGTTATGAAGGGCTGTGCACCACACTGAACACCACCAGAGCTCCACTCTGGTGTGCTCTGCAGTCACATCAAGGCTATGCCACACACGCGAGAGGAGAGCACAGGGACAGGAACCAACAGTCACGGGCAGCAGAAGGAAGGACAGCTTCTTTGGGGTCAGGGTAGAGGAGATGCAAACTGCTTTTTCCCCAGTAAAAACACTGAAAGGGAAGATGAGTTTCCCTATTGTATCAGCTCACAGGATCTCCTCACCCCACGGCCACACCCTGGTGAGATCCAGCACCAGCAGCATGAGCTAAACTGGTTGCTGTTCAGGACAGTCCCAGGCTGCATTGGATTGCTGCAAGTCTGGGTGACACTACACAGCACGGTAGAACTAGCAGACAACTCATCACTGTGAAAAGGGGAAAGTAGCTTCTGCTTTCCTCACTCACATCCCCAGCTGCAGAAGTGCCTCCCTCGTTCTGCACCAGCCCTGGAGCTTGCTGGATCTCCCCCTGAGCGAATTCCACCTGCTAACCTGGCAGAAGACTAGTGTGGCTGAAACAAGTTAAGTGAATAGACTCAAGCTGGACAGGAGCCAGCGCTCTAGCATAAAGGGAAGAGGGAAAGGAGGAAGGCATGTGTGCACACACCTGAGAGTGGAAAGGAAAAACAGGGCCTCCTTCTCTCAGCAGCACCGAGATATCGTTAGATCAGTTGAACTGTAGGCGTAGGCGCATCCTCACGCTGCTGCAACATCACTATCCAAGCAAGGCAGGTTAAACACAGAAAAAGGGAAGCTAGCATAGAGATCACTACACGAATACCAAAAACTTTGCAAATTATAAGCACAAGACCACTGATAGATATACAGCAACCAGAGAGTTCAACTGCAATATACTGCTTGTCATCGCAGGCAAGAAACGAGATCAAGAAGACGGGCTCAAGAAAAATTCCTGCCTCTAGCATAGGGTACGCTGAGAGCACCAGCAGTCCTGGCAGACACCACTCACTGGACATCTCCTACCTACTTGACAGAGACCAAAAGCAGAATGTAGACGTGCACTCCATCTTTCAAGGCAGTCTTGTCCTTGTCCTTGCTCAGGGTATTGCAGGTTGTTTGTATCTCCTACCAGCCAAAAACTACCACAGCACCCCAAGTATAAAAATGCCAGTGTCACATTTTTTTCATCTACCCAAAGGAATGGAGCAACTCCACCCATATAACAGTAAGCAAACAAAAATAACCTTGTCCTCTTTCAAATCAAGCAGTACGACTGTATAAAAAGAGGAGGAAGGGCTCTTTAACAGCTTTCCTATTTTGTATCGTGGACTTTATTAATGCCTTCCGTATTCTCTGCCCATCCAGAAGCACATGCCAAAAGGCAGGAGCCAATCCCATGCTTAAGACAAGAATCAAATGGGATGGATGCCATGAGACTGTAACAGCTTCTGCAGAAAATACAGCCCTTCCCACAGTACTGACCTTCCAGCACAGATGACCTTCAGAAATACAGAGACAGTACAGTCACCATGATGAAAAGCACAAGATAACAGACTACTAGTGAAAATCTTCAAAGTTAAAAAAAAACAGCATCCCCTCCTCCTATGTACACAAAGAACAAAATTACAGTGAAAGGTCCAAACTTTGTTAATTTTTTTCAAAGGCAAAGCAGATACAATTTGACAATATTTACAGTTCAGAGTACAGCATCTTTTATCGCTGCACAGCAGAACAAAAACCCACCCACATTTCATCAGATTAATTGCTCTATCGACTGGATCTCTGTTAATTACAGTTGGAGCCTGACCACCTCAGGATAGGGATTGGATTCATCTCTCTTAAAAGGCTAGTTCCTAACAAAACAATACAAAGAGTTCTACATAGGTAAATCAAAGTAGAAGAAAATGCTTTTCCTACATTAATGTACTGATATGAAAACATCTAAAAACTCTCTCTAGTCTAAACTCCACCAAGAACTGTCACGCTTAGCTTTATCAAAAAGCAGCTCGCCATGACTCACAACAGCCCACCAGAGTGGTTCGCTTCATCTTCACGCACATGTCTTGCCAATGTGGCCCCAAGTCTTCTGCAACCACAGTTCTCACCTCCCCTTTTGAGACTGCAGAAGGCACTTCCGTAGCTTTTCACAGCATCATCCTTCATTCTTCCACACACGCTGAAAGGATGATGAAAACAAGCCATGCTGTTGACCCCTTTAGGGCCCCACCACGGGCAGGTGAGCATCAGAGAGGAGATGCACACTCCAGAAGAGCCATTTTAGCACTCCAACAGCTCTGGCAAACATTGATCGCTCACTGTTGTATCAAGGCATAACTGCAGCAGTAAGTGGCAGACTTTATTTGTGTATTTTAAAGAAAAGTAGGATGTCTGAGAACAACCAGAAGTATCAAAGGAGAAGTATTAAGGCAAGTAATTAATTTTAAAAGGAGTACTGAGAATAAGAATGCCTCCTGAAGCTACTGCTGCTAGAATAAAATTAATGCTATTAATCCAGCTTCAATTTTCAGGACACGGATTTGTCTGTAACTACAACAAAGTACTGACAAAACAGTAGTCACGGCTCTTCTCCTGCCTCCCAAGATGACAGCTGACCAGTACATACTATTGGGATTGGACGCTACATCATTAGTGATCTTTATCTCTGATCATAATCTCTGCCAACCTGTAATTACAACAAATTCTTCTCTCACAGTTGTGCCTGTGTGCGCAACTGATGTTAATCTTCCAGATACTTGAACAGTGGCTAAATTCATATATAGCCAGCAAGTCATCAAAGTATGAAGGCTAGCAAACAAAACTACAAGAAATCAGCTAAAGAAATCTGCCTATGCTCCCTTTGCCGCAATGAGCTGTGTTCAGAGGTCCAAGCTTCTTCATCTGGGAATATAAGCGTCAGCCAGGACACCTCACATTATTGAGCTCTTTCTTGCATTTCACCAGTTCCCAGAAATGCCGCAAGCCATGATCTATGTGTAAGCAAAACAACGGCACACAAATACAAAATCCGTATATTATTATACCAAATCTGAACATTAAAATGCTGATACTGTAACACATGGACTCCTGTTGACCTCACGCTGAGTCTACTTCCTGTAACAGCCTTTAAACAATTCCAGTTTCATATCAAAAGCTAAGTGAATAGACAGTTTGCTTTTATAACCAGATTGTGAACTTAAAGCAGATGGAATATAATAAAATTAAATGTGATTATGAGGAATCCACAGACTTGCATTCAGCCCTACTAATTTATGACAGTTTTCAGCAGACCAAATGGAGTTTCAGTTTTCCCTACTATATCGCTCAAGGAAAAGAAACATTCTGATTTTTCTTTTAGGATTGTGCTTTGCTAGCACAGAGCATCCACAGAGCTTCGTCTTGAACATCCCCACAGCTTTTTGGTGTGTGGATGTGAAACAACAAATCATATGGTTGGAAACACCATAATTGGCAACTTCTAAACCTGCAATAGCAGGTTCCTGACTAGGTACTCCAAAAGCAACACCATTCCTTGTTCTCATTAGCAGGAGAACGAGGAGCTCTTGTACACTCCCCATCTCACCTCCTGAACAGGCGGCGCGAGCGGATTCTTGAACTCCGAGAGCGACACTGGGAGGGAGAACTTGGAAAGCATCGACGGCAGGTTGTGGCCCCGGAACTGACAAGAAAACGCATCTGCTAATGGAGAATAACTACAGAAAAGAGATGAAGGCAGAAATCAGTTTTATATTGCTGGTCAGTGTAACATTTATCCATTTAAGCATTACAGAAGTGCCAATTCCCAAATGGAACATTCTCTGTGATCTAGAAAAACAGTAAGGATAGTTTATGGCACGTTGCATCCTGCAAAAGTAAGCAAGAAGCATATGCACTTTCATCTTGGCGTTACATTCAGCTCCCGTACATTATTCAAGGTGTGGAGGGAATCCAGAGGAGAAAAATAAAAATGATAACTCTACACCTGCGCACTCTCTGATCAAAGGAACAGGGATTGGCCAGTCAAGAGAAGACAGGGATGGGCAGGATATACACACAATCTTTGAATATGCAAAATGCAGCTGCAGATGTGACTGTTCTCCCTGCCTATGCTGACAGGACAAGCAATATGACTGATCAGAAGTAAGGGAGAGTCAAGTTAAATATTAGGAAAACTGTCTGTCTTAGGATTTCCATCTACAAAGGTCTTCAAGAACAGCACAGCCATATATGACACAGGCACAGTTGTTCCTGAATGACCTCAAGGTCCCTTCCAGCCCTATTTTTATACTTCCATCACAGAAGTTTTGATTTAAAACTATTTTCCTATAACGGAGTTCCAACACAGACTCTAAAAACGTCTCAAAATCCAACACAGAAAGGGTTGCCAATCTTCAGCAGAGCAAAAATACCCACCACTGCCTCCACATCTTCCTTGCATTGCCGCTGCCTGCTCTCAAAATGGCCGCACTGCCTTCTGTCTGCGAGAAGGCATATCAGAATAAAACGCCATCACATGAAACAATACAATAGTGATAGCAACACTACCCTGATTTGCTACTTTTTATTCATTTCAGGTGATGCTGTGTACCAGCTACACAAATAGTCCTACAAAACACTCATTTATTTAACTTAATCATAAAGTATTTTGTTTTGTAAATGTTTCCCGTATTGCTTCAGGTTCATACAGCCTTTCCGATATGGACATTCAGTGAGCAAGCATACTAAAAATACTAAAAGTAGCTTCACAGGGTAAATATTGCTTCCAAGGCCCACATCACTGCAGAAGCGTATTGATCTACTATGATGCTCCTCCCTATCGCACACAAACTCCTATATAGCTTTGCAAGTTCAGGCACATGTAATGGTTTGTGTTCTGTACAGCCTCAACAAATTCATACGTGAAGAAAGATCCTACCCTGTATCCAGTAAGACAGGGAAGGAAAGCACATCTGCACTTCTCACCAATTTCTTGCTACAGTCCCTCATTTTCCATCTACTTACAGACAGACACTGGCGTTTGGAGAAAGCATGTAGACATTGTTTTCACACAGCGGATAAATAATAATTGCCTTTCCCCAGTAAACGAGATGTGCAGCAAGCTGGAAAACCTGCATTGAGAAAACAGCGAAAAATTAGGGGAGCAAAAAAGCAAAACTCAAACTCTCAGCAAGAGTTCCATACAATGACAGAAAAGTCATGTTTGAGCTGAAGTGAAAGAAGAATGTTCCATCCTTTCACCCTGCCTTCAGAATAAATTCAGAGCTTAATATAACATGTGGCACATCAAAATGCATTTGAGAAGGTTATGAATTTCCAGAGGTTCGCTTCACATTTCTAAGCAACTTAGTATTTCCTGCCTTAACAGAATTTCTTCAAATTGTATCAATAGAAGTTCAGCTACTTTTCATGCCCCAAAAACCTATTTTTGTTTATGCACAAAATGCATTAAGTGTTATACATGAAAAATAAAAGAATTAGCCTCTACTATGTCACAAGCATAAAGGAAACCAACACTGCCTTTTTAATGCACTGAGATATTTCAGTAATGAGTTACACAAATTATTTTAATGTGTTAAACAAGTCGGTGGTTGTTAATGGCTGTGGAAGAGCCACATAAATAGCATCTATGAGACATAAAATCCAGCCTGTATCATTAGATGCATTTAACTTTGCTTTTTTGTGGAGAACAAAACTACAGAAGCAGTAGGGAATTTCCAGAGTTCATCCCATAGCTATATAACGCCACGTAACACCACAGACCACTGTAAGCAGACCTGGAAATTTTATTACAAAACCGGACCTTTCCCTTCAAATAACAGAAGGTGCAGACCTACGATCAGGAGCATCTGAGATGAGAAGCCATGTTGTTCTCCCCTGTCACACAGAGCACAGATCGCGTCCCCGGGTCTGAATCGACCATTAGAAGCATGGAGTGGCTCTCCCCTCTCCCGTCTCATCTAATATAATCATCAGGCCCGACAAGCAAAGGGCCACGATGACTGCAGTCATCCGCAGTCTCTTGGTGGCCTCGTGTCTCACATGACTGCCAGTCTCATTCCCTCCACTGGCACAAACTTCCCTTTTCAAGGGCTCGTCACATCACCTCGAGCAATTCACATTGGAAATCTGGTTGTCAATACTGGAAAGGCATTCAGAAAGAGCTGCTGGCTTGGAGAGACTGGTTCAATTTTTGCCCAAGCCTATAGAGCTTCTTCCTGGGACTCTGCAGAATCCGTGCACTAATGTACTAAGGGAAATCGATAGGTAGGTTTGCACAGGCCTTCAGAGCTCTTTAGTAGAAAAGATCTTGGCAGATCCAGAGAAAGCAGCAGTATTTGGGCATGGCAGCTGTAAGCTTTCGCTTGCATTTTGGATGCCTCCCTTTGCACAAAGACATCAACGTGGCAAAACCAAGACAGACCACGGTGGCGTAAGTCAAGAGTACTGTTTGTTCTGGTTTTAACTACCTAATGGGAAGGCACAGGGAAGACAGAGCCATGCTTCTCGGACAGGCACGGGGATGGGACGAGAGGCAACGCACACAAGGTGGAAGATGGGAAATTCCCATTAGATATGAAGAAAGTTTTTCACTGATGCTGGTCAAATGCTGGACCAGGGCACAGAGAGGCTGTGGGATCTCCATCCCTGGAGGTATTCAGAGTTTGAATGGACAAGTTCCTGAGCAGCCTGCTTTAACGGACTTGCTCTGAGCAGTGGTGTGGACTAGAGACCCCCAGGTGCCCCTGCTACCCCACCGCAATCTGTGATTCAGATGTGGCTGCAGGACTGTCAAGCACCATTGCTGCACCACTGCTCTTCGTCTCTCCAACCTTTCCCCGTGCTCTAAGGCTCACGCCTTCTCTGTGCACTCTGCTCACAGCGAGAGAACTGACATGCTCATGTACCACAGAAACCCACTGCCACACAGAAAGAAAACGTCTCGTGAATTAAAAGAATTTCAGCCGCTGCTGACGGTTCCCTGTACCTGCAGCAATGCCAAGTCAGCATCTTGAGCCAGTTGCTGCAAATTCTTCACAGCAGAGGTAGTTTTAATTACTCTCACCAGGGCAGGAGAGCAGTCCAATGGGAGCTCATTAAGCAATGACTTCTCATCATTTAAAAGTAATAAGGCATGGTAAGGCCTGCAGAAAAAAAGGAATACATTTGCACAGTAAATAGCAACTTTTCCTGAAGGCTTAGTTATTCCCAGACCATAATACCTGGGGTCAATCTACTGGTAAAAAAGAACTTCTAATATCATCCTTTTCCTGTAAGTGGGTTCCGAATAAGCTTATTTTTATGCCACAAGATAAGACGCTCCCCATAAAAAGGGGATAGAGGGTTATATGGTAAGTGGATGCCCCAGTGACTAGAAAAAAATGACTGTGCTATGCTGGCATACAATTAAGCCTGGAGAACTAGTCTGAAAACTGCTCATCTGCATTACCGAAATACAGAATGGAGTAGAAAAAAAATGAAGAAAGCAAGAATTAGTTACTTTTGCAGGTAAAAAGCTGTAAACATGGAGAGCAGGAAATAAGATATCATGGGGCCTGAGCTCTCTTTCTTCTAAAAGCAAAATTAATTCTGGGTCAGCAGATTAAAATGAACATGCAATTCCTCTGACTGGAAACTGTATCACCTCAATACAACCACCTAATGTCACCGTAAAGGCTGGGGCTTCACATCGCCACGTATCCAGCAGCATCATGGTACCTCGGCATCAGCTTCAGGGAGTCCTGTCTCAGCCTATGCCCCCACCACCACTACAGCTCAGCGTCACATCACCCCCCAGCTGTTCCAGCACAGACATTTGTGGCACCACACTTGGAACTGGAGGAAGGACCGGCCACACTCTGAAGGACAGAGCTTGCTCTTACCTGATAGATTTCAGGCTTCTCTCAATTGCTTCAGGGGGTATAAAGTTTGTGGCAACATAATGGATTTTATGAGGCAGGCAGAAACTCACTTCCAGCCAGTTGTTGATATGTAAACGGACCACCCCTGTCGTGCAGAGACTAAAATAGGAAGAAAATAAATACATACAGCATTTACCACGTATAACAAATGAAAATAGTGGTCCAGACTCACCCCTGCACAGGAATTACATCAGGAAAAGAAAAGACTGAATGTATCCTGTCTATCCCCAGGCTGGCTGAGGACCAGCTGATTCCTAGCTGCAAGGGCTTCCTTAACTTGTACTTACAGAGCATTAGCCCCTATGAGGCTTTGGGGGGATTTGAAAGACTTCACCCCACTGATCTTCTGCTCCCTCTGCTCTTAACATTGCAGCAGTATCTCAAGTTAAAGGAGTTTCCTGAAGATCTACTGCAGGGCACTGGAAAATTCCCTAGACCAGAGCTGCAAAGGGCAAAGATGAATTGGGCACAATGTTTTCACCTCCAATTTCCATCTTCCTCTCCAAGGAAAAAGAAAAGGAGATGTCTGTACTGGGCAAGGGGTGTGGCAAGCAGCACCCTTCCACAATAACGGACTCTTCCAGTTCTGCTTAGCTTGTTTGTTTCCTACTAACCTGCTCCTGCTTGTCACATGAAATCACAAACGTGCTCATTAAATGGTTTCTTCATTCTAGGAAACCGCAGGGACTAAGCTAAGCCTTTAAGCTGACTTCAGACAACAGGACTGGAGTGGAAATGATGGACATCTCAGGAATGACAATAAAGTCTGACCTGGTGTTCAGCCTGAAAGCAACTATAAGCCTCTTTTACTGAAAAAGAACAACCAGAAAGCTGGGAGATTAGAGCAATGAACGTCATACAGGTAGTTTACAGAAGTCTGTAAATCTAGACAACAGATGAAATATACCTAAGTAGGTAACTATATTTACTTAAAAATGGGTAGAGATACCATAAGGGTAACATACCATAAGGAGCTAAGCTAGCACCACCTTGCAAACCTCCACAACGCTGCCCAGCCCGCAGGGAGGAAACGCTGGCCCGGGAACAGCTCTGCTAGAGGCAGTGGGACCCAGCAGGGAGGAAGAGGCAAAGCCCACCACATCTTTTCATCTTTGAGTTAGGAACACATATAACTTGCAAATCAATCTTAAGCAACAGCTAATCTTGTCTACACTGGAAAGCTGAATTTCTCAGTATGTCCTTTGATTTTAAACTTTGTTCCAAAAGAAATATTTTTGGCCTAAAATAAAATTTCAAAGTTTGCACTCTGAAAATTCCACTCTAAATTTTAAATTCAAGTGTGTTGAGACTCACAATATGACTTTTGTGTCGATAACACCCAGAAATTTTCCCTCTACACAAAACAGATTTAAAAACATGCCAGGAACAGGCCGGGAACAAATACATGTCTTGGAAACTCTTTATGTGGTGATTTAAACATTTATACCTAGCATTCAATTGTTGGCCACAAACTAACAGGCTCTTTTTCAAATTCATCTGGTTGTATACAGGGTTTAGAGAGACCTGAAAATTCAGCTTTAAAACAAAAACCTTGGGTATCTTTGGCTGCCGGTATAACTATTCACCAAACCACAACAGAGTGGTGAGAGAGCAAACACGATCCCGTCCTGCCTTGTGCATGATCAGACTCATTAGGGGAAACCTCACTGCAGACAATGCTTTTTAAAAGCAAAGGCCACGGTTTTGTTCTCAAATCTTGCACTGACCTCCGAAAAATACTGATTTTTCAAGTTGCAAATAAAGCCGATACTATGTGTTTTCCTTTTTTTAAAAAGGAACTGAAAGGATGAATCCACCGTCTCTCTGGCGCTGCCATCTTGCATCTGATCAGAGGCTCCAAACCCTGAAGGAACATGCAAAGCACAGCAAACACCTCCGTTTTTCTTGCATTAAATGCTGCAACTCCAGTAACACTGCTTATCCCACCAGACCTACACCAACATCCAGATAAAGCCGGATTCTCTCAAAATACATCAAGGTAAAGGGCACCCTGAAGCAGTAGTCATCCACACTATCTACCGGGCCAAATACTCACAAGAGAAAACATGACAATAAATGAACGGGACAAGCGAGTTAAGAGACTACCTGAAAGCTATCGGGGTTGTTAAAACAGGTTACCAAAAAGAAGCAGAGATACATGAAAACATGAAATACTGGCAGGGATATTTTCCCTGCTTAGTTTAACATTCAGGAAACAGAAAAAAATACAGTTGGTTCCTTTCATTCTTTGGTCCAAGTGCACCACAGCAGAAGCTTTAATTACATAATTACACTCTCCACAGCATAATTTTGCTACAGTGCACTATACAACAACAGCCTAGAACTAAAGACAACAAGAAAACCAGATTTTCAGTTCTGATCTGGATCTTAATTTCATTCTCCTACGTTTGCATTCAACTGTACAATTTCAAGCCTTCATTATAGCTTTATGTACATGATTTCTCCTTCATCTGCCTCTCCTTGGACCGAAAATAATTTAAGCCTCTTATAATTTGACAAGAATAAACTACATCCTCCAGCAGCAATGTATGCAACTGCCCTTAGCCAGCCAACAGTTAAATAATTTCACCAATATATACACAAAGATTCATGCAACGTGAAATATAGTCAAGTCACAGAAAGCGAAGTTCGGATCCGTATTTGCCTTCATTTTTACAGATTCCCCATGAAGTCATCTATTTAGCAAGCTTCGTACTGTGAGCCTCACAAATCTCCATGAGCTGGCCCCAAGCTCCTTGGCTGGGGACCGGCAGACCCAGAAGCCACCTTCTTTTCGGGGCAGAAGCAAAATGGCAAAAACCAGCAACAGAAGAGAATACCAAGAAAATGAGTTTTCAAAGTCGCATTAGGGAGTCACCTAGCTCCAATTCTACTTTATTCTTCTTAACCAACTAAAATCATGGAGCAAACAGTCCAGGAAGGCACAGGACTGTGGGAAGGTGAGAACACTGCATCGGCTCCATTGCACGCCATGAACCTCGGGGACGCAGTTTAAGTAGCCCCTGATAGGAAACCTAGAATTGCACATGGCATTCAAAGGTGCAGTAGGTACACCAGGGATTTACAGAAGGCTCTCTTTTGTTCTTTGCTCCTTTCCTAACTACTGTTCACATTTTATGGGGATTTTTTGCAGTGTTACTGCACCCTGAGCTTTTTCACTGAGTTGACTTTTTCACTGAACTATCTGCTGTAATTCCAAAAGCTCTTTTCAGAGCAGTTACGTACTATATAAGGGCTGTCTGGCCTTACATGCATTACTTTACATTTATCTATACTGAATTTCATCTGCTGTCTTATCAGTTAACTGACATCCAGAGACCTTGCTGCAACTTTTCCTTTTTCCCCACAGACTTCAAGAGTAACTGGGCAAAAATAGTTTCATGCCCCATACTCTAACTGGCTATTAAACCCTCAAAGACATGCCATTTTATCCTGTGAAAACTTAGTTTCAACATTTTTTTTTAAAAATCTCTGGTTAGATAATACATGATGAGCAATACTGAGGGATACATGGTGAGGGATTAGGATACTGAGAGGGGTTATCAGTCTAAAATTGAGACAGGGAGAAGTAAATAAGAAAAAGCTGTTTAATGTCTCTTCATCATAAGACCTATGAGACATCTCATGATATTAGAAGGAGCAAAGTTCAGAAGAAATAGAAAGAAACACAGAAACTAGTTAAGCCATGGACCTCCTTATCAGAGGATGCTGTGGTTGTTAAATATTTACTCTGGCTCGCAGGATCATGGACTAATTCCGGGAAGTGAGATCAGCTGAAGGCTGTTGAATATACAGAAACCACCTCCAGAGCTGCAGGAAGCCAGGGAACATTTTTGGGAATATCACTGCTCTTTTGCTCTATTCTGCTCTGCCCTGAACAGCGACTGTGAGCCACCGCCCCAAAATGGGAACCTGAAAGTTGGCCAGTATCCCACAGAATTGCAGCCATTGGCAAAAGAAAGACAATCCCGCCTCATATTTTATAAGAGAGTCATGAATTTTTACATACCCACACCTCATTTTATGTCTATCCTATTTACATCAGAAATTAATAATATGTTTTCTAGTTTGGTGGAGGTGAGCTTGTAGCTTTGGAGTTTGTTTATTTTTGCTAGAGGTTGTGACTACTTAGAGCTTTGAAATGGTTTCATATTTCATTGTAAAGGACACATTGACTGTCCTTTGGTCAAATAACTGTAGTTGGTTTATATTTTACAGTACAGCCACACAAATCACATCTAATAATTCATTAAATCTCATATAATTATTCCACTTCTCCCTGAGCTGCTGAGATAGGCTAGATCTACCAGTCAGTTCAAATCCCACTAGGCTAAGAATGTATAAAGGCTCTTTGTGTATTAAAAAGAAGAAACAAACAATCCAATCCTCCCCAAAAACCTCCCCATACTTTCACTTTTATTCCAATATAAAGCTAAGAGAAGTTTGCTAAAAACAGGCAGTTAGCTAGTATCAAGCTAACATATTATCTGCAGTTGCAGATAAAACTTGGTGAAAGCTGTCTTAATTACCTACATTGAACACTGGCTTAAAAAAGACAGCCATTGTAACACTGGTAAATTTGTCAGCACTGGAGGTACTGGCAACTGGACTTTGTTGGTCCTAAAGCCATTGCTTTTTGTTCCACACCAATGCTGGAGTTTGGGGACAAGATGAACGAAGACTCTCAAATCCATTTTCTGAACTAATCAAAAAGAAACATTCTGGTTTTCTCCATTAGAGTCAAAAAAGGTCCCAGGAACTAGATGTTGATTACCTCTAAATTGTCAGTTTAATAATACTCCATTACTGTAGCAGCAATAGTGTTACAGTCAGGATGACCTGGCTATTGATTCCTGCCTTATAAAATACAGGCACTTCATTTCATTTCAAAACACAAGGGACATTTTGAACTATAAAGATTCATACACTTGTAGTTTTGTACAAACCAACTTGCTAAGGGACATGTTGGGTCTTGCCTGAAATACCTCAGCACCACCTACAGGAAACCAAGGGCTAGACAGCACCTCTGGAGCAACCGTGATAATTCAAGAGGCTTTCAACTGGAATTGCAGAAATCAGCAGACACTAGGAAATGCTGGCCTGAGCAAATCTCAAATGGAGAGCTGGGTTCCCATCTGCAATTCAAAGTGCTCTCTCCACTTTACTATGCTGTTCCCCTATGCCAAAGGCTATGCCAGAAATCTCTGTAAATTTAAAACAGCACATTGTCACTGCATGCATTTGAAGACTTGCCATTCCCAGCAGTCTTTTCTCCTCTAAAAGAAACAGACCAAATCTTTCGATCTTTCCTCTTAGGTCATTCTCTCTTCTCCACACTCCCTAGGTGGCCCAAATCCTTCTCGAAATGTGGTGCCCAAAACTGGATACAATATTCATTACAGCAGGGGCTTTACAATCCTGAGCGGGATTGGTTCCCTTCTTACAGACAAGACTTTTATTTTATGCATTCTTGTCTATTTGCTTTTTCTGCAACCCCATGTCACTTGTACTAAGCCTCATTTCATAGAAGACCACACAGACTTCACTCCAGAGCTGTTGCCACACAGGAATTCTTTATTTTGGAGTTGCAGAAAAAAAAAAAAAATCCTATTTTTAGACCATTTCTTCTACCTTACCAAAAAATAATTTGGTAATAATTATTACACCTGACTGCAGGTGTAATAAGCATTTCCCATTCTCTCATATGAAGCATTAATGGAAAAATACTGCAGAACACCACCTTATTACCCAGCCAATGACACTGTTAACTACTCTTCACATAGAGCTTTCCAATCAAATGCACAGACATTTTATATTTTTACTAACACCTTATTTCTTACATTTGCTTATGACAACGTCATGCAAAAGTGTCGAAATATAACTTGCACCACTTCTCCCCCACTCACAATGCCTAAACGAGGGAGACACTGCCTTATTTTACATCTGGGGGGCAGCACCAATGCGTGTTTCACCATGGTCAGTCTATTCCTCCTTATGTCATGGAAGGGTGGTATTAGCACACTCCACGAGCTTGGGCTATACGTTCCTCCAGCCACTGCTAAATGCCACAAGATGTCACTGTGTCACTAAAATGTTTGGAAACAAGATCAGGGTTTGCCCAGTCACAAATATATAGCCCTAGAGGAACAGAAAAAAGTAAGTAGTAGGTGAAGTTTAATATCAGAATTACAGGCTACATAAAAAGTGCCTTATTTTAAACTTCAGTACAGGTTTTGTGCAAGTTGTGTCGAACAATACAACATTCCTTCCAAACAAGCTGAAATTCACAGCTCTTGAACATAACAAAGAACAGCTTATTAGAAGTTTTCTAATGTGCTCTGCAATCATTAAATTATTTAGGCTCTCTGTGCCTTACCTTACAGGGCTTTGCGATTATCCCCTTTGTACAAGGGGAACTGCAATCTAGGGAGGCTAAAGGGTCTGTCTAATGTCATACAATGTGCTCTACAGTCAATCAAGGAACTCCAGAGTAATTCTCCCAGGCTCTGACAAACACCCTAATCAAGGGGCACATCATCTTCCTCCCCACCAAAACCTTCTGTGCTTCTTTGTCAAGGTCTTCCACCAAGCGCATATCCTGAACGGAGGTGTCTGCTCTGCATGAGGAGTCAGCGCTGACAAGCTGTCAGAGCAGAAGTACTCTGGAGGAGGTTGGTGCTGGCTCCTGCTGAAATTCAACACTAACTCCACACTCCTTTGAAATCTTTGCCAGAACTTTTAATCCAGTCAAGAAACAGCATGTTACTGTCTCCATTCTGCTGAAAGTCTCACCACCTAATCCAAATTCACTGTCCAGACATGCACAGTGTAACCAAATGAAGCCAGGGCAGTATCTGACTTGCCATGAGTGCTAGATGCAGCATTTTTCTCTTAGCTGCAGGTTTTGAGCACTTCTACAGCAATATGATATTCATATTATGACACTTTTCGATTTTACAATTCACTTGTCATTATGTGCCTCTGTGCTAAGGAAGAAAATAATAATTTTTAAAGCTGTGACAGACATCACCAACTTTTAAGAACCATAACATATCCAAAGGGAGACCAAGGTAATGATTAGGATAGCAATTCTGCAAACATTTTGCCTGACAGCTAGCCTTCACATTGCTCCACCTGGTCTAAAACCCAAATCCCAATGAGTCAACAGCATGAAGAGGTGGATAATATCCTAAGGAACAAGGCCAAGAGGTTTCAGTGAGAAGCAGCATACTATTAGCTAGGAAGAAAGTCCCACTTACCTGTCATATGTCTCTTTGAGATCTCTGGCCAGTTTGCACTTGGGTAGGATGTGATGAAAAGGTGACTGTGGCCCTTCTGTGGCTATGAAAGTTTCAAAACAAGAAAGCAAACAACTGATTTCAAAGCAAAGAGAATTTCCTCTTCCCCCACTAGGTAGCAACCAGTATCTTAGGGACAGAATCCCTATCTTTTTCATCTACAATTATCTTTCAAAGCTTTTACAATAACTCAAGTTACGTGTTAAAATAATAATAATTAATTATTGCCAACTTCTCCTAAACCTCAACTCAGTTAAGCACATGTAACTGTGAATTTGACAAGTGATGATTTTAAGTGGTTTTGGTTTTATACATGTTAGTTTTAATTTTTAATGCTTGCAGCAAGATGATGCATCACTGTCAGATAGAGTTCACCTTAAATAGCGCATGTTATTACAGTAAATTGCTCTGAAGTAGTCTATAAAAATGCTCTGTAACTATTTGCTAGCCATGGTAACAACATGTAAGAGTAAGTTCCCACACAAGAAGTCTGGTGACTCAGCACACAGCATTAAAGCATGGGAAACTTGCTCTAGGTTGGGTGAAGCAGGCTACACATGAGTTCTTCCATCTCAGCCTGACAGGCAGATCCAAATGTGATGGTTCAGTGCACATTCTCCAGCGATCGTGCTGAACTGAGCTAGCAAGGAAAGTAAACAAGCTACTTCACTTCTAAAGCTGACATGTCTGCATAGGGATAGTGATCTTGGATGAGGCAAAATGCAGTCAAAAGCTGTCAGAATGCTAAAGAGCACCAAAACTTGTTCATGCTGATCCCAGCCACAAAAGAAGTAAGAAGGCACAATCAGCACTTTTCTGATAAAGTGCTCCTGGACAAATGTATTCCTGCACAAAGCTAAGCTCAGCACTCACTTTCTGACATGGCAGACACTTCATCCTGAATAGCTAAGATCAGCTTGGCCTCCCTGGTCAGGTATTGGCAGCGGCGCTCCTCGTGCTGCAAGACTATGGCGATTCTTCGGGAGAGGTTGTGTAAGCAGTTTATCACGGATGGATCTGCATTGGCCTACAGGCAACACAGAAAAGAAACAGGTTGGTCATTCAGCCACAATCACATATATGGAACAACAGTGATGGATAAGTAGTCAAAATAATTATCTTCAGTAGATATCAAAAGTCAGCCTCTTTGGCAACGGGGAAAAGAAAGGAATTTTCTCTAGCAGCAACAAAGCAGAAGCTCAGAGATGTCCAAAGGTAAAGAGAAGACTCGGGGATTTCTAAGCTTGTCTATGTGCATCAAATGAACACAGCACCTGGAGCACGATCCTCCTATCCAGTTTATTTTTTCCAGTTGTTAATGGGCCTTCTGGTAGCAGAGAGACCAAAGAACTCAATTTCACACAGTGAGAAAAGAAAGTGTCAAGCTATTTGAAAAGGCAGAATATCACAATGTTCAGGTTAAATTCACTGGGAGTATAAGGACTGCAGGGCCTTTAACACAGCCCATTCACTCCATGTCGCTGTACTGATGTTTGTCTTACACGCTGACCAGACAGTAACTAGGTAAGAATTACCAGCACATGATCAACAATTTGACCCCAAACCAGAATGAATTTGGATTTATGCTCCCAAACGTTTCACAAATATGGCTTATTACTAACACATTCGTGCAAGTCCCAGAATGAAAGTGCTGGAAAAATCTATCACGTAAGTACAGCTGACAAGGCGGGGGGACTCGGTGGCTCCAGTCTGAGTAAGCAGCTGCTTCATGTTTGTTAAGACATTTAAAGGAATTTACAGTTCTAGCAAGTGATAACTTGGCATGTAAACTAGCATACCATGAGTCATCATTTTTTTATTCCACTGTTCTTGCTGAGTCACGACACGTTGGTAACCCTGAAGCTTAAACACAGCAGGATCAGTGCTGATTATAGCATTTGGGACTTTGCCTGCTCTGTCTGCCCACTGCAGATGGACTTTCATCTTTATCTCAGAATGCCTCCACCCACCCTCTGCAGTGCACTACACCATGCTAGGAAAAAATTTCCACTCGCTTCTTGCACAGCACTTTCCAGAAACTTGACAGCTCTCTATGAACTAAGAGTGTCTCATTCGGCAAATATGATTTAGAGCTGCATTACACACACAACTACATCAGTATCATCACAGTGCCAAAATGCAAAAAAGCAAGTTTTCCTAGGAGAACCACTAGAAATTAGATTCTAGAAAAATGTGGGCCAGATATAGTCTTCATTATACTTCACTAAGCTCTTGCAATATTGTGAAGGAAGGAGCATTGGTTTCAACACTTCTGCTTCCACATGACTCAATGCGCATGAATGTTTGTGTTTGCATGTGCATCTACACCCACTTACCTACAACCAAAGCATGGTGCTTTACCAATACACCAAAACAACAAAATTCTTGAAGCTAATGTCTCTTAACGTGTGAAATCTAAAATCAACTCCTGTATTGCAAATTCAGCACCTCCTGACCTAAGAATGTCCCAAAGCACAAGAACACTGGATCCCCGGCAGAACTCAGTGAACAATTTCTTGCTTGCTTCAGACTGATTGCTGGGATAATTGTTTTTTGTGAAACCTTGCTCTTCAACTGAGGACAAGCCATCCGGACTGTGGCCATGTCCATGTTAGTCACCACTGGAAAGCCAGTGGTAAGAAAAGTACTAGTGCTAAAGGGGGATAAAAAAAAAAAGGTCATTTCACAAGCAGGGAGCTGGAGGCTTTTAAATCATGACATTATACCCAGTCAAGCAAAAATCAACCATTTCCATAAAGACAGCTATTCCAACTCCCTCTTCTATTTTTAAAATGTTTCTTCATATGCGTACATGCCACAAAAATAATATGATGGCTCCACAGACGCAACCTGTGGGCTGGGAAGAGAAAGCCAGAGCTCAGAAACCAAATAATGCTCGAACATAATGAACTTTCTAGGGTTTTATACCACCTAATTAGCTAAGCCAGGATCCCTTAACACAGATACCAACATCTAGTCAATAGAGTAGGCCTGAAAAAAATTCCAAGCAATAACTACATATTTGCTCCAGGTTCTTGCTGAGCAACCTACTTATTCTTCACTTGTACCTTCTTCTCATTTAGAATGCTACAGCCGCTGCTCCCTGGCACTCTCCCTTTACAATGATCTCATTGCCAAGAGGAGGCAGCTTTCAAACACTGTCCATTTAATTATAAAAAAAGCCTAGAGGCACTGAGCAAAGGCACATCTCTGTATCATACAGCGTGAGTAAGGGCTGAAAACAGTGCTGTTCTGAGCCAGGGTAGGTTTCTGAAGGACTGCGCTGAGCCAGCTTGGGTCGACCAAGGCCGTGGTGGGGAACTGACTCTTAAGGCTGGCCAAGCATGAGCCACTGTCCCCGCTGCCTGCTGCCTCTGCTTCTGGAGCAGAACCGACCACCAAGGTCCGAGCCGCACGGAGTCACACGGGCTTGGCAACGTGCTAGTGCAGCTGCACGGATCTGGTCCTATCCTGGGCAGGAACAGAGCAGTCACGTACAGAGAGCGGCATCTGACACACAGGACAGTCAGACCCAGGCTGCCTTCTTGCACAGCTTAGTTGGACAAGCCTCAATTGCAGGGTCTAGAAAAATCACAGCAGATTTCCAGCTCAGTAATAACAGAAGACAAGACACATACAGGACTTGCAACTGGGTTCATATCTATTTTGCAAAGTGGTTTCTTGCATGCCTTTACACTCTGGGTATTTATAAACCAAAAACTCTAGAAAATGTCCTGAAGAGAACAACTGCACTTGTTTTCCACTGGGCTGGAAAACTTTCACACTTGTCACTGTCATATTCTACATTGTTTAGGTTTATTGTTTCAAATTAAAATATCCCAATGAAATCAGGCACTGAATGTTTTACAAGAGATTACAGGAATGTAAGCCTGCTGCATTCTCTTATATATGCGAAGCACATCCCACTGTCAGATGGAATAAAGACAGTCCTTACCCTTAGTGCAAACACCACGTTGAAGAGAATCATAGTGGGCATCTCTCTCTTTGGTGAGGGATCAGTTTTGGACACCTGAAAAACATTTTTTAAAAAATCCCATAGGCTAGTGTCAGCTGGATCCAGTAACAAAGGGAAAAAAGAAAAAAAAAAAGAAAAAAAAAAAGGAAAAGCCTAACTCAGTCAAATAACAAGTTTGCTGAGAAAAGAGAGCAGACAAATCAAATTATACCATCAAATTTGACTTGTAAAAAATAAAAATATGATTTTTTTTTTTTGAAAGTGTCACAGTTACTCTACAACACTGCCTTTTCTGAGAAGCTGTGAAGACTTAAACCAAAGCATTTTGGTCATGACCATGGAAATGAGTATCAGTTAAGACAGCAGTCTGACTAGGTGTCTTTACTATTACATTTTAGCGTCATTAGGGACCCTAGGTTTAAATTCTTCAGCACAATTGTCATATATATTGTTAACTAAAGAGAAGTCCATAGATTTCTCATCCCAGGCCATGCCTATTCTTTCCTTTTCTAAAATCCCCATTTGGATTGCGTCATGTTACAAACTGTTGCTTTTATCAGAAAAAATATGTTCTAGAACTGCAGTACTAAAATAAAAGGTTTGATTTTCCCTTCCTGCAGGATTTCAAACACATTCTCCAGCCCCCCCTATTCTTTCTGCAGCAGAGAGCTTCACCCCTAACACAGGTACAGACATTCTGGTGGGGAGGAACAGTGGAAGCCAAGACGAACACGTTGAATTTGCACATCGGAGACTAACAGCTCTGAATCGAGCAAGTGTCACCACAAGATGGAGCACAAAATCCAGAGGACATTCCTGCCACCCCCAAAGCTCCCTGCTGAACACCCATCCAATCCCAAGTGAAAACAGCTATAACCTGCCAGGCCAAATACCCAGCTAAGCTCAAATTCGGTCTCTACCCAAACATATTTGCATACATAGCTAATGCAGCATCTGAGACGGGGCAAACGCAGAGAAGCTGGCAAAAGCAGAGCTGCATCCACCCTTCCTGACAGGTCCCGAGCATCAGCAAGGAACTGCTCAGCAGAGAACTCCAAAATCTGAGTGCTTTCACTCAGTAGTCTTAAAAATTAGAGAAACTAAAAGAAGTTATGCATATTTTTGTTTTTTCTAAAGTGTAAGTGAAGTTCTATCAAAACGGCAGTGATGGGAGGGTGGTAAAGCCAATTTACTGTGTTTGTTTATTCTGGAGTTACAGGTTCCAGGATGTCTTGTGAACTTCAATAAAGACTCAAAAGCATTTCCGAGTGTAGGGACTGATCCTGTTCCTTCCTTAAAATCAAAGAAACTGCCACAATTAACGTCAATTGGGATGCAGGCTAGATTTCATATTACCTCTTGTCCAGAAAAAAGAAGAAAAGACTAAGCTGGAAAAGAAAATGCTGAAGGAATTTGAAGAATTCAGGATATTGCTACATAAAAGGTGGTCTGGCACTCAGGATTAAATATTCGTGCTCTTGTAACTCCTGAATCTCATCTGAGTAAGAATTCGTTGAGCTGTCCCGTGGGTTAACTTACTGCAGCATGAACTCCGAAGAAACCCAAACCAGACACTGTCAGGTTACTCCGGTCACTGCCTTTGATCCAGGGGAAAGGAGCTCCATCTAGCTTCCTCCTAACTGCAAAAGGGTCCCAGATTTAGACTCAAATGGCTGCCACGTCTAGAAGATCCTGCACACTATGAAGTTCTGGGGTGCCTACCAGGGTGATAAGACACACCCCAAAAGAAGATCCTACAAGAAGTAACAAAAAAGTTTTTACAGTACTTTATAACTTTGTTTATTTACCCAGATGCAATTTTATTTAGACAAATTGAAAATGAAGAGACATTTCATGCAATTAGGATAAAACTGACTGGAAAGTGGAGAGAATGTGTATGTGGTAAAAAAATGCAAATACAAATTTTCAACCTCATTTACACCACATTTAGGAAGTTGTGCCTTTCGGATGAGATTAGCAAAATAAAGGAATCTGATACTGTGAGAGAACAGGCCACCGCTGTCAGGGCCCTGAGGGCACCAAAAGGTCTTAATGGCCCTGCCCAGCCCCAGTTGGGTCCCCCCACACACACCCTAGCCCATGACCCAGGAGCCCCATTTAAGCTCGGCCCTGGAGCCCCATTTAAGCTCAACCCAAGGCCTGTAGGTGTGCATGTCTCCAGCCCTGTATCCTGGGTGGACCTTCGACCTACATCGTCATAGGTAGCTTGTCTCCTGGATGGACCCTTGTTAAGTACATTGCAGCCTTGTCCTCCAGCCCTGTCTCTGGTCCTATCTCCTTTTTGCTCCTGGCTGGGGTCCCTGTACAGACCCTGGGCCTGGTTCATCGCCTGCCTTGTCTGGGGCTGCTGATGTACTTGCACAGCTTGGGGACATGTGAATTCTGTCATCCAAAACAGCTTAAACATTTGAGGACTGAGTCTTGGTGATCCTCCATCACATTTCTTGTAGACTCACGACTGAGTTTCAAAAGTGGAACACTAGCATCTTTTGATGCTTGAGGCCAGCTCCTCGCTTGGATTAAAGCAGTCTGGTCCTCTAAATATCAAGCAGCAGTTGCAACAATCTGCACCTCTAATTATAGATAGAAAGGATGACAGAATTGGCAAGCAGACTTTTTTTCCTGAAAAAATGAACACCACAGTAAATTTGATGAAAAATGAGACCAAAGCAGGTCAGTGACAGAGATCAGTGTTGGATTCAGAAATTACCAAAGCCTGGTTCATTCTTACAGTCTATCAGGAAGAAGGAATGGGACAGGGAATATTTTGCACATAGAAGCATGTAAATTCTTCCCTAGATTTAAGCAGGGCTTTTTCCATAGCCTGGGTGGCAACTGCTTTCATTCCAAGCAGCTAAAACACAGGCCACGGAGCAAGGTCTCAATGCAAACAGCAGCCTGACTTTGTCCACAAGAAAATTTTAGACCTCTTTCAACACCCTACCTATTCCAACCAAGCCTTGTGAATCATGTTCAGCACCAGTAAGAGTTAAAAGTAAAGAGTTAAAAACAAGGCTGATGTAGTTTCTAGCATTTGTGAAGGTTTTTGGTGTGGTGGGTTTTTTTTTTAACTGCCATACTAATTAGAGGTGTTAAAAAGCTAACTTGCAATAACTAACGTGGTGAGAAACAGCTTTTTGAGCTGGACTGCTTCGTATTACTTCTCTTTACCCACACTGCTTTCCTACAGTAACCAGGAGGGGGTTTCTGTGAGTCACTGACACAGCTCCCTCCGTTTGCCACTCACTGTATTTATCTGGAAGTAAGTAAAAGACAGCTTTGATAATCAGGAAGTAAAAACAGGATCAAAAGCAAACATGCACGTTCTGAATTCCAAGTTTCCTAACTAAGCCAGGCAGTTTGAAAAGAAGGCAGGTCCCCAGAGCGGACCTCGCACCATACCTGCCCAAGGGCATGCTGAAGCAACGTGGGATGGCCAACAAAGCGAACATTATCAATCTTCAGTTCAAACTTTTTGCCACACATATCTGACTTGGTAGCCAAAATTGTTGCCAGGATGACATCCGAAAACCTTGAAGAGCAGAGATAGAAGTTATTACGATTTTCAAGAAGCATACCCCCAGAATATTCCTCCAAATACAGATATATTTAACTTGTGAGTTTTTGAAGTATTGTAAATTGTGTCTAAATTGCTGTACCCAGAGTACCACCAATTATGGAAAATTAAGAACCCCTTAATTACATCTCTCAGATCATCACAATTATAAAACAGGAAGCATTCACGACAAAGACTGCGGGGTCATGCTTATTTAATTACATGCTCAGCAAAATACACTGGAAAGATTAGATGCAGTTCGCTTAAATATAAAAACAGCTTGAGTTAGCCATGGCCTGGATTTAGCTGCAGGTTAATGAACTTACTAAGCAACTACATATTGACACAGCCTGTCACTCAAGCACAACAGAGATCTTTAAGCCACCCACTATGGCAGAGGGGAAGGCAAGAAAGAGCTGATTCAATTAGAAGAAACATACATCCAACGCTTGTCCCTCCTTTCCCAAACCTCAGAGAGACTCAAAGTTACTCACTTGACAGTGAGTAACAGGCGCCCTTCTGAGAGCTGCCTGGCCTCACCGGGGCTTTCTCATTTGATAAACCGAACTGAGACAAATTCATGACAGGGCAGGCCCTTCCCAACGCCGACCACGGTGTTAACTGGATTGCTCTGGATTGGTGGTGGGAAGAAGGCAGCTGCGAGACAGGAGGGCAAGTATCTACAAGGAGTCTGCCCTGTAAAATACAGCTACTGCTGCAAAAACAGCTAAGAATCCAGTGTGACAAGGGAGGAATTCTGCAGCTGCTCTTTCCAATGGCCTTGCAACATTGGTCTGGTCTCTACAAACACTCATTTTCCTCAGGGTGTCCCCTGAGACAGTGGAGCTCAAATCCACAGGGAAGAGGACCTCAGCTGGCTGCTGGAGGGAACTTGTTCTAGAAGAGGAGCAGTGCAAGGTTTGATATTAGCAAGTTCTTTCCTCATCTGATTTCTCGGAGGCTCCCATTTAACCAAATGAATTTCAAACCAGTTTCTGATGAGACCAGTTTTTTAAGAATGAAAATGTTTATTTCATTTTCTTTATTTGTATGACAGGATGTGTGTCCCTGTCAGACCATCCCCCTCCACCAGGCAGGTATCCCAGATAACCCAGTATCACTCAGAGAAAAGGGCAGGCATGGGTGTGTGCTGCGCTCACCTTATCTCTTGGCCACAAGTGAGCCCTCGATGCCCAGAGAAGGAATTATGTACCACATTCCTGGTTCACTCTGAGTGAGTTATGGACTACTACAGAAATTAAGACAAATGCACACAGCCAGGTCTTTTGTGTGTGTCCATCTGCATATGACCCAAGGAGCATTTCTTTTATTAGACCTGTATATACTGAAGATGCAGGACAACGCAGGGGCTTTATGAGCTGTCAAAGCCCCTGGTGTTTGTACGAACAGGTCATCCCAACCACAGCACGCTGCTTACGTTTGGCTTATGGAAGGAGCAGCTCTGTACAAACTTCCAAATCCCTGGCCACTCTGCTCCAAACACAGCTAAAGGCAAGCAGAGAGATGGAGAGACTAGCCAGAGACTCCTGGGGCCGCTGAGCCCACGCTCCTCGGCCACCATGCTGCACTGGGCTGCACAACACACGGAGTTCGTGAAGAAAGGGCAAAGCGTCCTCAAACAGGACCTGGACTGACAGTCCTTGGAGATCACATCCAAAATAGGAAAAAAAGTCACCATGACAGCAGTGAGCTTTTCCCCCTCTATGTGCCCCGTTCAGCTGTGTTCGTTAGTAGGCTCATCATGGAGCCAGGAAGACTGTAATAGCAATGGATCCAAAACGAGCGTATGTTTTGGGGAGCGGAGGGAGAAGGAGGCAAATTAGAAAATGCCTGCTTGTTGGTAAGAAATGAGTTACTCTTCCCTCCCCCAGCCTTGGCAAAGGATATCTTGGGAGCTGGAAAACTGATCATTATGATGACTTTCACCACTGTTAAGATTTGACTTTTACAAGGAATTTCACCAGCAGATCTTTTAACAGATAAACGTTGTGCTGAACGTAACAGTTCAGCAGTTCCCCAGGAGAGCTCATGACACCAACAGCCCTGTCTGCCCCGCCTTGTATGTGGCTCTGTGGGGAGGAGGAGATGAAAAGGTTGATTTTCTGAGATCCTCAGTATCTTCTCTACTAGCAGAGACTTCTCTTTCTGGGAGAGTACTGCAACTGCAGCCAGATGACACGCTCAGGAAAGATAACCCCGTGACGTTACACGGGTGCTACCTGATGGGTACAGACACCTGGTATCACCGCAGGCTCTCCCAAGAGTGACCTAGACTCCAGCCCCATTCTCCTTGCCTGACAGCCTAGATTTGTTGGGTTTGCTGGTTTGGGGTTTTTTCCGTCAACGCTCTACGTAATTTATACATTTCTTAGGCCTCAGGATGATAGGGAGATTGAGGGACAGCAATACGTTATTCCCATCATTTCAATTCATCATCTCATCTTAGAAAATAATACTTTTACTTTAGATATTTTAATACTGATTTTCTAATCTCTGGGGTTTATCAAGATGACCTAAAAATACTGACTTCTCAGAGCCCAAGAGTTTGTTAGAAGCAGATTACGTTTCACAGTTGGGCAGTAACAGTCCCTTCTTCTTTTATGAGATTAGTCTGAGCATTGTGATTTCCAGAGGGAAGCAAACCTCTCCTGTACTAAGGAATTCAGCAGGCAGAAACTAAATAATAAAAAAAAAGCTTTGATTTGCTCAAAATATCCTACTACTCCTATCGCGAGCTCAACATAGCAGCAACAGCAGACAATCCAGCAGTACGATACAAACCACACTAGTGCAGATCGACTGCTGTCACCAGCATCTCCTCTGGAAATCCAGCTGAAACAACAATTGCTTTAGCACACAGAAAAGGAGGGGGAAAGAATCTCAAACACAAATTCATCTTTTCCCCAAGAATGGATAATCACTTTTTATATGCCACAGGAATTCAAAGCAAGGTTCTGATAAAGAATTCTTCTTTGAAGTAGTTTAGAATGGGAGCCGAGTATCTAGGTGAGCATCTTTATGTTAAGCAGGGACTAGAGATGCAGTTTAATACTTTTGGGGCCCTGGGTAGAGATAAGCACTTTTCCCTCCACACATTCAAAAAGGGGGTATAATGCAGTCATCCAGTTTAGCTTAGTGGAGCACCAAGAACAAGCAACCAGAGCAGCTGCTCAAAACCAGGTCTCTGAAGAGCTCTCCATAATTACTGTGGGATTAAATAGTTTACTCGCTGATCTGTACTTTTAAGTCATTGCTCATCAGAAAGCAATTTGTTTTAGGGCTCCTTGTTGGAATAACTACAATGCCAAGGCTATACTTGTTGCATTCTCGGAGGATCACAACTTTTCTCAGTTCACAGAAGGGATAGTACCTCACCCATTCTGGATACCCTACAGGAAGCACAGAAATGTTAGTAGGACCTTTGTAATTATCCTAGCATAAACCTTTAGCAATACATTTCCTACAGACATTGTGATTCAGCGTATAATTATCTCATCATTTGGTGTAAAACAGAAACCAGAAACAAAGCACAATTAAAAGGATGGTGAGAAAAGAAAGCCATTCTAGACAAAGGTGATTGTTTAGAACGTTTGGTCTTACCCCGAAACCAATTGCTCATCAGTTAGAGGACATTGGTCTCTGAAATGGGAACATGGCCATAAACACAAAACAAAACACAACAAAAGAAAATAAACGAGGCAAGTACACAAAATACAAAAAAAAAAAAAAGAGATAATATTAAAAACTAGGATGAACTATTAAGAGTTAAACTCCTGTAAAGAAAATAAAACTATTGAGAAGAGTCAAAAGTTAATGGTAGGTGAATTCCAGGGATATATTACAGGCTTAGATTGACAACACGGAGAAAACAGGCTAAGGCATTTTAGTCCTCTCGCTAACACTGGCTGCTGTAATGTGTTCCCACGATACACTGCAGTTATGGAGCTGTATTTACACCGTACTTTTTAATTCATGCTTACCTTAAGGGAAAATAGAAGAGGTTGCAGTCTGATTTCGAACAGATTCTAAACTTCAGTTTCTTTTCTAGACTATTACTAGCGTTTTCACCAAAGGAACTTCCCGTGCAGTCCCAATTGACCCACAGCTCTTCACAATTGGTTCTGGTGCTTCCATACCCACAAGACTTAGAAAAAGAGCATGCCAAACATTTGTTGTTGCATGCACAGCCAGGATTCGGTAAAGGGCCTTGCACACAGAGCCGCTGCTGCTCCCCCTCAGGGATCTAAACAATAGGTACAAATCTGGCCAGACTCGCAGCACAAGCACGGAGTCATTCTCTGTCTGCCCCAGGCAATAAGCAGAATCTTAGGAAGAGTAGGCTGAAAAAGTTTTCAAGGCAAAGAACCTGAAAACCTTCTTTACAACAGGTGTACAGAGGGAGGCTCTGTTAACAGCTGTACTCACTTCTGTATCAGAGAAACAAACAGCTATTTTAACAGTCAGCTGCTTTGTTTTCCAAATAACAAGGAAAAAAAGGACTTGTTTCCTGAAACAAATTTCCTAAATATACTGAAAAATTAATCCGATAAAAGCTTTATACTGTCCATGTTAGAAAGGGGAGACAAAATGAAAACCTCCAACAATTATTAATCCAAAAGACAGCAGATTTCTACTGGTCATGCTGAAAAGGGAACCTAGAGCAATCCCAAATGACAAACTATACAAAGGGGGTGATAATACAGGAAGGGTGTTTAAAGGGAGGGAGGGAGGGATGGATGAATGGAAAAGCACAGGCTTACAGAAAGGGAGCCTTTCAGAACAAATACAAGGAAGAACACTGGAGTCCAGTGAAAGAGGGACAGAGGATACAGAAATGTTATCACAGGAGAACTACTGTTTGTTAGAAAGGGACATTCAAGTCCTTGTTTGTCAGTAACTTGACTTTTTTTATAACAGAAGCATTTGGCCAATTAATGACATCAATGCTGTCAAACTTGCTAAACCTCCTTCAGTTAGTCAGTTATGCTACTAAAAAATGCAAAGTCTGGTGTAACATATGTTACTATACGCGCATCTTCATTAGAATTTTTGCTTGCTGACTATACCACCTTCAGAAAAACTACAAAAAAACATTTCAAACCAATTTAACATAGCATTATCATATGGCTTCAAAGGAGTAATTGCCTCACACTTGTTTGGGGGGCTGGGGGGGGAAGAGTCTGGCAGGCATCTCCGTAAGCTGAGGGGTATGTATTACTGGTAAACACTCAAAAACTGAAGGATGTTTTTGAAGACAGCAAATGATAAAAGGCTGAGAAGAAGCCAGCAAAGAGAGACACTTGACAGGCAATTTGTTTTGACAGTGACAGATTCTTCTGAATACCTTTTTGTTGCATGGCCACCATCAACACACCTCAACCACTTTCGCTGTTTGACTTGCTTTTAAAAGAAAGAAAAATCTATATTCCAAAGACCCAAACACACAGCTCCATTGAGTTGAAATTAATATAAGCAAATACACACCAGTAACCTAGAGGTAGGATTGTCATGAATAGGCTGCAATTGTCTATAAAAAACAAAAAGCATGACAAGGGCCAGGAAATTTGAGTCTGAAGGCTAAAAGAAATCCAATTATGCATGTAAATATGCTATATGGAAACGGAGAGTTAAGGCACCTAAACCGACCTGATTTTGTCCTTTCTGAGGCCATAAAGAAATACATACAACTCAACTGCTCCAGGAGAGATCAGCTTAAAAGTAATTGATCTGGGTTCTAATGGCTTCGGAAAAAAGCAGTACTGAACCTTATCTAGGATACAATTGGTGCTAGATTGCTAGTAAATTAAAGACAGCCATCCAGAATAAAAAAGGATCACTCCAACCCTCATAAGAACTATTGCAGCAACAAGATAAATCTGAAATAACCTTTGCTACTGAACATGAAAACATAGGAAAGACCCAACCCTTCAACATTATCAAACTCACCATACACCATCAACTCAACCTAGCAGTCTGCCCGTTCCAAAGCCTCAATTTGTGCCACCAAAAACATCCACAGATGCTACTGATATGTGGTGATTTAAAGGAATCTTTTTGCCAACTCTTCCTTGAAGGAGCCTTCCAGAAATAATACGGAACCACTTAATAAATTAGTTTCATCAAGGACAACTCCAATCAGAAAATCACCACCACCAGAAAACAGACTGGACTTCATGCTGATGAAATCTCTCCATGGACTACTGAACTGAGTGTTTCAGGAACAGAACCGCTGCACCACTGCACTGTGGAAGGACGAACTTACAGGGACAGAGCTGCCACTGGGGGAATGGGAATGGCTCTCACAAAACCAGCTGCTCCATTCCTGGTCTCTCCAGCCTGATCTTCAATGGGAACATACAAAACATTCCAAACAGGAGCCCAGGAGTAAAAATTCCTAACATTGGCGAGGAAAAAAAAACGATGGGCTCAATGACAATACTGGTTTTACAGCATATGATAGTGAAACTCCTTCCTTTCCTAGTTTACAAATCATATGCATCTCGCTCTCTCCAAGACATCTGCACCTTTCTGCCTCCACTCTCCCCTTAGAATCTCTTCTACTCCAAGGCACCAACTTCTGTTACTCCTAAAATGGTCTGATATAATCAAAAGTCTGAGCAACCTGTTGCACACAGTTTTGAAGATCCCTTTTTGTTTTGTGCTGGAAGAAGGGCCTGTGTACCTAAAACTTGTGTATTTTTTCCACCTGTATCACTAAGCCCAGTGAAAGATATTAACTCTGCCAACAAACCTCCTCTTGTCTAATACAAATTAACAGTACTCAGTATATAAAGAGCATCAGCGATTTCTTCTACTAGCTGCTACAACTGAAGAGAAGGATATGTTTAGTTGCTACATCAGTTGTATGGGATGCAGTGTACTTACAACACTGATTACACTAGTATTGGGAAAACATTTTTCAATAAACAAACTTGAAACAAACGCAATTTTGAAAGAGACTTTGAATTTCTGAATGCAGATGCCCAGCCATATAAGCAGCACAAGCAGTGTGCTGGACCTCGATATCTGGCCTCTAGCAGAACCAACACTTTCAGAGCAACATAAACGCTCCTCTTCTTCTATTTCCCCTTCATCTGCATGGCAGCTATAGACAGATCTGCAGGAGATAATATTAAGGGACTTCCTGCTAACAGACCTGTGTTGGCTGACACCTCAATTCCATCTAACTTGATACAAGGCTTATAAACACTGACCTTAGCAAGAGTCAGGTGCAGACACTGCAGCATGAATTTGTATGTATTGCTACATACAAAACTGTACAAGTGACAACAACTTTTTTCTGAAGACCATCACTGCGGAGGGGGATTTCTGTCTTAATATTCTTTCATTCAGCGCTTCAGAACTGTGATACTTTGTGCTTAGTGAGCTCAGTTGAGAGATCATAAATTCTTTTAAACACTAAAAGCTTAATAACAAATACCTGACCAGGAAATTAAGCACTAACTTTCAAGCCCAGAGTTCTGGACACCACTACAATGAAATAATCTAAATCTTTGTTTAATGTAGGTTACATGCCAGCACATTCAATCTACTTAAAACCAGTTTCAGGAAAATACTAGCAGTTTTCTCATCTGACCATCATTTGAAATGATAAAAGCTTTTCCTACATCACTGTAGTAGCCACATATTGCATCACACTAATTCAGCACCACAGGCAACACCCAGCGAACGTAGCTCCACATTAAGGGCCTTGTCCAACCTGCCAAAATGGCAGAGGCAACAAGAATCAGTATCAGACAGAAGCTGGTACTGTTCCAACGCCATCTTAATCTATCTAGGGAAATACGTGAGCCAGGGTTTTGAACAGCAACCAACAAAATCCTTGAGATAACCAGCAAACATGTGCACTGAGCCTTCCTAATGTGCATACTAGCTGCTGTCCACAGCACAGTCTGAAATGCCATTCACCAACTACCAAACGTACAAAACCACGGCTCGCTCCCACTGGAGCTGTGCCCTGTACCGTACCGCACTCACTGGAGACACGACAGAAGGCCGCATTTGAAGGTTTCAAAGACACTAGAAGAGGCAAGAGATACAAATGACCTCAAGCAAACTGTGTTTTCATAAGATCCCGGTCCTGGAAAAACATATGAATTGATGGAGTTTACTGTCATGGGTGATTTTAATTTCAGGTAAACCATTCTCAGTCATAAAGTTAAGAACAAGCTTACATTTTGCAAGTTTGGGATCTGAATTTCTTTTCTGGGGGCAAGTGATGAGTACTTCTTTTTTACCCTTACATGAGAGAAGAGCAGCAACTACCCTGTTTTATTAATATTGGAGATTAAAACACATACCACAAAAAAGATCTGCAACTGAACTATGGGCCAACAGACAAAAAAAACCCTTTTTCTTTCCCAGATTTGTCTCATATCTGATAGTGATAAATTTAGAACCATGCAGCAGATTTCAAGTTTTGTACAAAAACTAATTAGAGGGTCCATTTGTACATACGTGCGTGCTGAACAACGCACTGCCTATTTTCAGTGCGTTTGTTACCCACTGATTTCCTGTAATTGAAAAACTATCTTTAAGTCTCAGTTTCCTTTTGAGCTACTATTTCTCTCCACAGACACAAGGGCAGCTATATCTGGAGAAACAAAATTAGTTATTCATTAGTGCAGAGCAATTCCATACGACAATTACATGAGCTAGGGAAGAATTTGAGGCAACTGAATAATATATCCAGTTAGAGGTAGGCAGGTAAAGAAAAGTGGAATTTTGCCAAAGTATTAATACTCCTAGCTTTGAAAGAGTAATACTGCCCTTCTAATGAGCACAAAATACCTGACCTATACCTTGCCCAGAAAACAATAGATTCAGTAGCACTCCCTCATGAGAAATTCCTCATTACTAAGCAGTAATTTGCTCATAACTTGGTATTAAAGCATTTTTTGGCAGGTCATCTTCTATACAGTCCAAGAGAATTTGACTACCGAACTAGCAGGCAAGAGAGCAAGAGGCCATCTCTCCTCTGTTTCAAACTCTTAGGCATGGAGAAATGTTTTCCCCTACCTGGAGTCCCCATCTTGATCTTCTGTGGTGTCACCAGAGCTGTTCACAGCATATCGACTCCTTGGTTTACCTGAAACAAAGAATAAAGACAGCTTTTTAAGGAGATTGTTCCTTGAAAGCGTTCATTAAAATAAGTGCATTAAGAGAACACTTGTCTGTGCCCTTTTTAAAATTATCTACAACAGAGATCTAAAAAAAGTAATATTAAAAGCAGAAAGCCCCTTCCTTTTCAGGTAGAAGTACCAGATCTTGTTTTTTCTATTCTCACTCAAAAACACATCAAAAAATAGGAGAAAGAGGTTTACATCTTCAGGGGATAAAGAGGAGAAAGCAAAACATTCACAGAAACAACTTTTCTCTCAAGTGCCAGGTAACAGTTTGCAGTTCGAGAGAGAGTGGAAAATAAAATTCTGACCAATGCATTTCCCTCATTATTGCTCAGGTTTCAGGACAATGATAATGCTCCAGAAGCCCCTCCTGCAGTCACAGGTATCGAAATCCTTTACCAACAAAAAGCAGGAGGGGGGCGTGAGGGAAGCAGCCAGCCAAAAAAACCACATTTTCAGATTTTACCTATAAAATCAAAAAGGGGTTTGAAGACGATTCTCTCTCGGTAAAAAGTAACTCACAACCTAAACAGGGGTGTCAAACCTCTCGTGATATACAGCAGTTAGCAAGCGACCCAAGCCAAACAGCCTCATCGCTCTGCAGCACCTCTAGGCCACACACCACGACACTCGCCCGCCAGCAAGGCCAGGTGGGACATTGACCCTGACTGCAGCGCCACGGGCACAGCCATCCTGCCTCCGGCCCCCGCGGGCTCCCTGGCTGCAGGCAGGTCCGAGTCCAGCCCCAGACACCGTCCCGGATCTAGCAAGCGACCCAAGCCAAACAGCCTCATCGCTCTGCAGCACCTCTAGGCCACACACCACGACACTCGCCCGCCAGCAAGGCCAGGTGGGACATTGACCCTGACTGCAGCGCCACGGGCACAGCCATCCTGCCTCCGGCCCCCGCGGGCTCCCTGGCTGCAGGCAGGTCCGAGTCCAGCCCCAGACACCGTCCCGGATCGGGAACGTCAGAGGAAGAGGTACAACCAACACTGGCTGCACAGCAGCCAGCTGGCACCTGAACGGTCCTGTGTTCCTATTTTCCAGAAGAAATGAAACCTCCTCCACCCCATTATCCAACACAAGGGACTAAAGCCCCTTAGTTTCTACCCATTATCAGTTAAAGCTCACTTACTGTCTTCCAAATCCCCTCTCCCAGATCGGTGCCTTCACTTCTCACCCTGCCTCCTCCTTCCCCTACAGCTCTTAAAACCCCCACCGCTTCAGCCGATCCAGGAACAGCAACAAGGCACCGGGTCGATAGTAACACCTGGCAATAACGTGGTTCAATTAACGTGGGGTGTGAAGTGTGTGTGCGAGGGGTGCCAGGGCACCTGGGGGGTGTGAGGGGTGCCAGGCCCCCACGGAG